TGGGTTTGGAATCAGGGTTTTTGCCAACTCCCCTAGGTGAACTACCAGTGGTTCACCGACCCGGTTGTAGCCCCGGATATCGGCAGTCTCATGCTGAGGTGAAGGATTCCAAGTACCGTAAATGGCGAAAAATGATCCAATTAGATCGCGGAGACCAACAGAGGGAATGTACATGTTCAAGTTCACGGGTGAGAGGGACAATGAGGAACGATGAAGCAATCGCACTACTGGTTATACATTTTAACGGTCAGTATGTTGTTGTGTAGTTCAGACCTCAGTTTCCGACTGATTAGTTATCAAATACACACAGTTGCACGAACACCCACGGGTGGTCAGAAAACATGACGAGAAGGCCCATTTAACAATTCACATCGACCCTGGAACCACATTCCAAGCTGAAGAATACAAAAATATTCGGGAGTACAGATTCAACATGGGAGTTCACCGAAGCATGGTACTACAGATGCGAACGTAGAAATATAACTCATTTATTACTATCAAGGAGAGTATCGGTGACTTATAGCTGCTTCGTGTAAAAACCGAACTCAACAAAGTCCAGAATTAGAGAGAAGAATAATTATTAAGCAATTAAGAAATTATTAGGCCATGGTAACAACCTAGTTAATCAAATAACAGTCAGCGGATGAAACTGGACAATGGGAGTGAAATAATGCTAGTCCAAAGTTTGTCTCACTGACGACATTGCTTAGCGTGGTTACAAAACGCTCCGAGTCACAAGCATGCTTCATTATATTTTCCAAACGTCCCCGGATTCAAATCCTTTTTGGCGAAAAGGAGGGTAAAACTATTATTCTGAATGAGATCAACGTCGTGAAGCGAGCAACCCATGAGTGACATCCCTTCGGAAATGAGTTTTTCTCACGTCCAAGATGAAGAGCTTCGGGGATGACAATGCTTCGAAAACTGATTGTCTGATAGTACTGTCTGCAGCCTAGGGATGGCAATATACTTGGAGATATAGTTGAACTTCTTGGCGGTTTCTGAATTCTGTGCTCTTTTGGCATTCATCTCTGCGTTCAAATAATCTGTAGCTTTCAGCGCTTTTGATCGAAACGACGTACGTCTGTCTTATTGTCGTTCAACTAGAATTTTGAAGTAGACCGTTCCTGACGATCTGAGTACAACCGATCTGAGAATATCCGTTCTACTATTTGATGAACACCGCTGTATCAGTTGGAACGCTAGTCAGAGACGCGATGCATTTCTATGGCACAGTTCATACCCTGAGGTGTAGGAAATGCGTAATCAATCAATACGATTTATCTCTTTGTTAAGCGAAGACGAGGAACAGCAAAGGACAGTTAAGCAGCCACGGAGTTCAGAAAATGAGCTCATCGTCTTAGTCACGACATGAAATGTAGGTCAGCACAGATTTATCTTCCATCTTGTACACTCATGTTTAGTCTATCGCCAACAACAACAACAACAACAACAACGTAGACAAGTCGTAGTATAGCCAGTGCGAGTGTAAAGGAGCAAGCACAGTAGGGCAGAGAATATGAGCAGTTTCTTTTATCGGGAAGTCACAGATCGTATAGGATTTCATTTATTGACATCGCAGTTGGAGGAATACCACCTAGATCCGCAGTTTTTGTTTATCCATAGTATCGATTCCAATAGGCACACTAACAACTATTTTCGACCGTATATTGAATAAAAAGGTACTTGTTTCGTGTGAGTATTGGAGGGTTTGATTCAATCTCAAAGGGAAAATTCGTCGTGTTTATAGTGAATGAAGCGCGAGTCGAAAAGTTAGGAAGCACTGGACAGCTGTTTCGACCTGGTTGGGGCTCATCAGCAGTGTGAATCTATCGACCCAACTAGGGATCAAACCTGGGACCTCACAGGCAAAACGTAAGCATGCTACCCACTCGGCCACCGGGCGGCTGGTCAGACCGTTTTCCATTTGCACGATATAGTAGAACCCATCTTTGTGAGCTTGCTGCGGGCCACGGACCTCGCTCATCTCAGGAATAGCCTCCCGGGTTATGACTCGTTTGGAAACATTCACAACCTGACTACTTGTTTCGTGTGAGTAATGGAGGATTTTATTCAATCTCAACTGGGTTCGATGTATTCAAGTCGAAACATCTGTCCAGTGCTTCCTAGCTTTTCAGTTCACGTTTCATT